CCCAGGCCGAGCCCTCGGCAGGTGGGCCGGGGGCTCCCGAGCCCGGGCGGGCGCCGTTTATGTAACTTTGTCGAGGCTGTGAGTTTGCAGAAAAACGTCCCTTCCGGGGCTCGCGGGCGGGGTGCGCCGTCGCCTGGTGTGTGCCCCGGACCGTAACGGCAGGGGTGGGGGTGCCCACGACCCGAGTGGGTGCCCGCAGGCTTTCCACAGGCCGAGATGTGGCCCCGTCCTGCCCAGATGATGAGAGCCGCGTTTCCCGGCGTTGCAAACACACACCGCGGAATTACAAGCAAATTATCTCGTATTTACATTTAACGTTGAATTATTTGACACTGTTATAGCAGGAGACCGTGCGTATCAGTTGGAAAGGCCGGGGGTGGAACCCAGTGTACTCATTTAATGCATATCAAAAATTTGTAATAACTTGCAGCAGCTGATATGAGTGTTTTCTTTATTGCATGTTGTAAATTGACCTGCTGTGACACAATTTTCAAATAAAGTGTTGCAGAAATTAAACTCAAGTTATTTTAAAACTAATGACTTTCTTAACTAAATCCTAATTGCATTACTGCAGAGACCTACCTAATTGCTTTCAGCAGCTCTGCCTGCCCTCGGTGAGGGAGGAAAGGGCCTGTCTAGTTACTTTGCTTCCTCTCTTTTCTCTACTCAGGCTTTTCTGTTTATTCCCACAAACCACCTAAACATGGGAGGCCTGAGAGTAAACATGTAAACAGCCCTCACCCAGTGCCAGCCCAGCGAGATTGGGGGAATACTAGTGGGTTTGCACCTTGGCCTGGTTTCACTTTTTCTTTTGTAACCTGATCTTGGTTGCCTGGAGTTTTAATTGCTTCTGATAATCCCGTGCATTATTTTGGAGATGGTCCTATGAAAGCTGGTGCAGTGATTTCAGAATCGAGCCAGGAAAGGTGGTGGTGGTAACTTGGGGGGTGGGGAGGGAGAGGGATTGAATTAAGAAAACTCAGCTGCTTGTACACAAATATACACTCCAGCAATTACAGAGCAACAAAAGTTATTGCAGAATTTTGCGGTAACTATGGCAACACAATTACTCTATTATAATTGGAAATGCAAAATGCCACCCTGTTAGAAGTTTCATCAGAATGGAGTTTTGGATATCAAAAATATGTGAGATTTAATTTTCTTCAGGTAGCTCCTGAGAATTCTAAAATCTGTGTTCAATTATCTATTTTTAAGAGTGATCAAGCTTTCCCAGATACTCTGCTCTGTTGAATCTGCGGCATCTTTCCCCAGAACTCCCATTTGTGTGGGAGGGAAGTATTTTCCTGCCTTAAAAACACACACCCTGACACATTGTTAGACTTCTGTAGCTTTCTGTGTTCTGGGCTTTTATTTTAAAGATCAAATACCTTCCTAAAGAGAGCAGTAATCAATCAGAAAGAAGCAGGATTTATGCGGCAAGCAGATGTAACACTGCCCTCTTTAGGGTTAGTTCTTTTTCCTGCGAGGGGAGCTGGCTGCAGGAGTGCCCCTGGGAGAGCCCTGGGCTGGGCCCGTTGTGAGGGGGTGGATGACTGTGGTCTCCAAGTAGGCCTGGGAGGCCTAGAGACCAAGGACAGTTGTGGCCTAAGCAGCCCGGAGCCGGGAGAGAACGTCCTGTGGGCAGCAGCTTCACAGCCATGCAAAATAAAGATCTCCAAGTGCCGTGTTCGCAGAAGCCTTGGGGGCTGTTACTGTAGCAAGATGGACAGAACAACATGGCGCCCTGGCCATGGGAGCTGGGGTGCAGACCCTGACTTGCCGTGGTCAGAAGCCTGCTTTGTCGGGATGCCCGTCTTGATGTTTACCAGGAGGACTGTAGTTCTGGAAGTTTCCACACACTGTGGGGTTGCTGCAGTTTAATTTCGTTATAAGTCTTTCAACCACTGCATATTTATGTCCAGTAATTGACTTCCATTTTCCAGCTTCATTGTGAGGCTTCAGTGCAGCATGAATGGCTTTGAATTCTCATCCTTTGATGTTGGGGGCGGCACCCGTGGAAAGGCGACTTTGTGCCGTCTTAATTGCCAGAGCAGAAGAGACATTTCACCGCTCCTGCAGAGTGCGTCCAGACCCGCGCTGTTGAAAACGGCTGGGCTTTCGTCGCTCAGAAGCTGCCCTGAGCAATAGATTAGTACCTGCTGTCGGCAGCGGGGGAGCCGCAGAGGAGGGAGGCTGCGGGGCTACCGGCTGTGGCCGGGCTGGGGGTCCCTGGATCAGAATCACCGCCTGTCAGCTGGGGCTTTACGCCTGCCCAGCCTCCGTGGCAGCTCCGGCTTTTGCCCTCGCTCTGCGGCCGTCCCAGCCCGAGGGCGAGTTCCTGCCCCAGCATGGCAGCCCCTGGCCCCGGGTGGGGGCCCTGGGGTGGGGGCCGGGAGCCAGCCTGGAGGGGCTCGTTTTCAGCCCCAGCCAGTCGGGGTGCAGTGGGCACGGGGCTTTTAGCTTTGATGTAGAGGAAGGGACGGCAGCTTCTGGTCCCAGTCAGATGAGGGACCGTGTGTCGACAGTGACGCGCTCCTTTGCAGACCTTCGCGGTGTGTGTTCACGGAACATTTCTTTTGGGGCAGGTGTCGCTGAACTGAGGTCGGTGAGCTCTCTTCATGAGGTCATCTTCTTCCCTTGGGCTTGTATGAGTGAGGAGATGGGGTGGGTGGGCCTGTTTAGGGAGCGGGGTGGTCTCTGAGGCTTCTCTGACACACTTTTTACTCATTTCCTGAGAGGGAGGCCCAGGGCCCCACGCAGGTTGCCTCCACAGTGCCCTCTGTGGAGCCGCGGGGTCGGATCGGCGTCTGCATCAGCAGACATGGAACCAGAACAGTTCTCCTCTCTCCTGGTGAGGAGCTCGTGGTACTAGTCCCGTTGACCCTTGAAGAACATGGGTTTGAACGGTGCAGGTCCACCTGTATGTGGATTTTCCTTAATAAATACCATAATATTTATTGAAACACTGCTAATCTGTGGTTGATTGAATCTGGGACGTGGAACCGTGGATACAGAGGGCTCACTGTAAAGTTACAAGCGGATCTTCAGCTGTGTGCGGGGTCGGCGCCCCTAACCCCCAGGCTGTGACTGAAACACAGACCAGTAGCGACCACTGAGTGAGCGCCTGCATGGGGCCACGTGCCGTTGTAAGTACTGCCATGTGTGTCCCACTTCTCTCTCCCTGCAGCCTTGGGAGGGGGCTGCTGCATCCATCTTGCAGAGGAGGAACGTGGGGGTAGACGGGAGGACGCGGCATCTGGTACCCCGGCTGTGTTAAGTCC